CATATTTTATAATAACTGTGTCTTCATCAATAAAATTAACTTAATTAAATGTTACTAGAGATGACTTATTAGAGAAAACAAATAATGTAACATCTGGTAAGTTATAAAGATAGATTATAACTAATATATATATAAATGTTTATGAATTATTTACTCATTAAAAAGAAAAAATATCAGAATTGAATTATACTAAAAATAACAAATTCAACTTGTGTATATCACTTCAGAGACAAATTTTTTTGCATTGATTCATTTGAGAATATGATTCAACGTCAATAGTATTTTATGCATAAATTATTCTACATAGAAACATTAACTCCTAATGGTTAATCTAAAAAAAAGTAATAAAGAATAATCTTTATTTTTGTCGATGAAATATTATGATAAATCATATATTTAAACAACGCTTTTCTTTTTTAATTATCATCATATATTAAAATATGTTTGCCTTCCGTACATATTTATTTTTAACAAGCTACTTATTTTATTTTTTTAATTACACATTGTTACATCCGAAAAGTAGACTGCTTACTTAAGAAAATCAACAGAGCAAATAATTCGAGAGAGTAAAAAAAAATCCTTAACATTTCATTATTATAATTTTCGTATACATATATATATTTATATATATATACAAAATAAAGATGGATGTATTTTAGCTATTTATTTACTTATCCCTAATACAAGTTCATCCATCTTATTCTTATATATTTCTTCTATAGATATAAATATCTATGTTATCTTGAGAAACTTTCATCGACAAGCTATACTTGATGAATGATAAATTTGGCAGAAAATCTATATTATATATCGACTGTTAATTGCATATCTTTTTTTGCTATACATATCGTTTCGTTTGGGTCACGTATCATATTAAAAAAAATTCAATCAATATCTATCAATGACTTAAATACAAATATTCATTCTTTTTAAATAATTTTTTTTGTATACTCTAAATTAAACATGTAAACAATGACTAACAATTTTAATAGATATTTTTCATATTTCTCTTGAGATAACCCATTTATATGAATTTTTTATTATTTCGTACATAATACTAGGCTAATTAATGATAAAAACAATTCTATTGTAAAATCTTGTAGACCGTACTAAATGCTTCTATGTGTCAATCACTCATATATATTCACATTGTGATGATGCAAAACTCATATACTCATTAACCACTATGATAGAAACTAAGGAAAACATTGATAGTAATATTTTTATTATGAAAGAATGTACTTGAACTACTTTGAGAGAAGCAATGATAATGGATTTCATATGTAAGTCTAAGAGCACAGTAAAGAAACGAGTGCTTTTTCGTTTTTATAATAAAACTTTTTCGTTGTTCTGTATCACTTAACGAGATTTTATTTTCTAAGAAATCATTATTACACAAAATATTTATCTTACAATCTTTTGGTTTTACATACGATTTTCTTGCTAATAATAATAATAAAAAAACAAAGATGTAAGAATTCCTTTTGAATAACAGTTTTCCCAATGTCTAATATGACGCATTCAATAATATATTATATATATCAATTATTTTCTTGCTTATATTCTCTAGGCAACTTATTTACTAATTATTATTATAGACTTATTCTTATTTTTATTGTTTTCATACGCGTACAATTTTAGAAAATCGATCGTCATCATCATCCAACTCACGTGATTAATTGGACCATGAAGTTATACAATTTTTTTAATCTAGAAAAAGTTATGACTATTCAAAGTTTATTATTCAATGTAAATGATATAAAAATGATCTACATCGATTTCGAATGATGATATATATGCATCTGGTTAAAAATGCATTCAATGTTAATTGATAAACTGGAAAAGGAATTTGCCATGCAATAACAACTAAGATACAATACATAAATATACTAACAAAGATATTTTTCTCGAGAAATGAAATGAGGCATTTTGTCATTAGAAGAACAACCTATATAGTAATGTATTAATAGTTAGGATGCTTTTCATATTATTGATGGGGCATTTCAACCTTACGGAAATACAGATGACATTTATTTAGAGTATTAATATAATATATGATGAGATTTCTATGATTACAATCAGATAGTTGTTGTAGATTTATTTCTATAATAGTTGAAGTATTACCAAGGTTAAATAATAAGCAAATTAACTATAAATAACTTTCGGAGATGCATACTATTGTATACATATTAGTAGAAACAAATATTTAATTAAATATTTTGCCTATTTGAAAAAAAAGAACGACCTGAAAGTACAGTATAAAACTGATACATACCTTTTTTGACAATAAATGTTTTTGACAAGTGAAAAAAGTTAATTTTCCCTGGAAGTGCACCTACCTCAAGTGAACACTTTTTATATCGGTCTCGATGGTGTTCATACAAGAGAAAAGTTTTATTTTATTATTATCGTATTGTTTCCGTAGGAGACATATTCAATATATCAAATATAAACTCGTCTTTTTTTGTCCACATTAAATTAATTTCATAAAATTTCAATTAGTTTTATATAACATTTTAATAGAGGAGACTGTAGAAAACATTATCAGATTCTACAGTGATGACATACATATCTCTGTCAATTCGATGATCATCATTATTAAATATATACATATGTCATGTATAGTTCTGCAGCTGTTTGTCTATATATATATAGATGACAATGGTACTCAAAGACCTGGTCTTTTTGTTTACAATATGCTATAGTAATATAATCATAATTGTACATTTTGTTAAATCAATATTGCAACAATTATTTTACATAAAATCCCTCCTGTATATAAGTATAGTTTAAAATATGTACTATAAATGTCTCTATTAATTTTCTCTCAATATACAATATAAACAAAAATACTATTAGAAATTACCCATGATGTTATGTGTTTCTAACAATAGTATAGCCAAGAGAAAGAATAGAATTATAAAATGTCAAACGGGAGATCTGATAAACAAGTGATTTATGAATATAAACTAAGGTTTATATACGAAAGTAAATGAAGCAAATGATAAAGTTAGATAATAATTCTTACACTTCATCAACAACAAATTGACACTTTCGATGATAATTTTCTTCATAAAAATTCATGTCAAATAAAACAAGATATGTACAATATTGAATGATTGAAATATGAATTATCAATCCAGCTGCAGAATGTTTTCTCAGCTGTCATATAGAACTTGTTGTTTTTGCTGTGGAAGCTTATTATTAGCAAATGCACTCAATGAAATTAGAATAGACACGCTATCATAGCCTTAGGATTTATTATCTGATCCTCTTAACAGTATGAAGTTAAATACAATCGACATGTATTTATCCAACGTAGAAAATTGTTCGTTTTTTTTCTTCATAAAAAGAAATTATTTAATTAGAAGAAGTGTTGATATTTATGACATTGACAAGATAATCATTATACAGAATATATATATATATATTCTTTATATTTATTTCTTCATAAACAAATAAAAATGAAAATTAGTTTCATTTACTTTTAATAACAGAAAAAGAGATAATATAAACTTATCAATTAACAATTATGATACATATTAATATATGACTAACGTAATTAGATATTAAATATCTATATCTTAATACACAGCTAGATTTTTTGTTGTATTGATACACGAGTATCGTTAACCAATAAAAACTATGAAAGAAAAAACTACTTAACTTTTTATTATGTTCGAAAAAGAAGAAAAGGTACTCTATCAATTAATAATAACTATTGTAAATATTCAGAATATTTTCTCTTTTTTTTATGTTTAAAAGAAATATGATGCTTAGCATGCATGCACACAACTTCATCATGTATCTCAATGGGGAGTTTTCTTAGAAAAATTGTTACATATTACTTATTCTATGTTTAGTTTGAGCACGCATCTTGTCATACAATGACATTTGATATGTATGCACGAGTAACGAATCCAAATACAGCAATATCAATAGTCTGTTAGCGCAACATCATAGATAAGGAGGGGATCCGTCTTATCTCTCTCTCTCTCTCCCGTCTTCTCTTTCTCTTCCTCTCTGTTTCTTCAGAACTAGGATATATATGTGTGGTGCATGCACAAGCAGTCAAAAGCAAACAAACTACTACTGTCACAATGCTGTCGCCTAAACTTGGAGCTCGACGCGCTATTTGTATCTCTCGCTTTTCTCACCCGGAATTCCGTTCTCTATCCTACTAACGTCGATGTGTTTTGTGTCCTCTATTACTTCTTCTTCTTCTTCTTCTTCATCATCATCATCTTCGTCCTTCTTTCTTTCTTTCTTCTTCTTCTTCTACTTTTTCTTCGTCTTTTACTTGCTTCCATTTGATAGCGTCACCCAAAAAGCTGTTCGTTTGTAGAGAAAACTCGATTCTTCTTTCTCGCGTATATTTTACCATTACTTCTCGTGTCAGGCATGCGTACATTGATGTTGTTGTCATTAAGAGTTCGTCGTTCGTTATGACTCTTTTCTCGCTAATTTTACACTATATGTAGCCTATCATTCTAATCGTGTTGAACGATCAATTGAACACGAATACAAGTGTTAATAATAGTTTTTCTGTCTCATTTTTTTTCCTTTAGACTCATTTTTTTCATGTTTATTATGATTATTATATATCATATTCTCTGAATAGATATGAGAAAAAGTAGATAAAATAAATGACATTAATAACAAATAATTTTTCTGTAGTTCAATGACAGGTGAAAGTAGAATGATTATTTTTTCTCTGTTTATTATATATCATAGTAAATAAAAAACGAAGAAGAAGAAGAAGAAGGAGGGCGGTACTACAACAACTAGGCGTTAGGCACCGGAAACAAGATAGCAATGATTTGTTTTTCCTGTCATACTACATCTTTTTTTTGCATCGTGATAGATAGATGATCATCATCATTATTATCTTTTCCCTAATACTTGTTAATCTTAAACTCTTATTTTTTGATTTTTAGATGGACAAGCCGTTATTATTCATATTACTATGATTTGTTTGAACAAAATAATACCAACTTATCATGCAAATAGCAGTTATCGTCGAATTTTTAGTTTTATTTCTTCTTTCAACTAATCGTCGTCGTGGTTCAATAATTTTAGTTCAAGCTGATTCAGCATCATGTCGTAAACAAGTCGAATGTTTTATATGTGATTCACGAGAAATTCAAGAATGTGAAGATTCAAGAAATTTTTCACAAGTACAAATTCCTACGCGTTTATGCGATGATTATTGTTTAAAAATGTGGACACGTGAAAATGATAGTATAACAGGAGATAATAAATCAAGTGCATTACGTTATGTAAGACGTGATTGTCATAAAATATTTCATTATCATATAAAAAAAAGCTGAAACATGTTATAAGCATAAAAAACATCGAACTGATTCTCTATGTTTATGTGGATCGGATCGATGTAATTCAGCTATGAATTATAAACAACAACAACAACAACGAACGTATTGGATTTTTTTCATTTTTTTCTATTTTTTATTGTATTGATGAGTGTGTTTTGTTTTTGGTGATGAGTATCTTTTAAATTTTAATAGTCCGATCATAATATGCTTGAATGTCTTGTACAAAAGAAAAAGAAAGAGAAATCATGTTTTGAAAGATATTGAGACGAGAAAAGAAAAAAAAGAAAATTTCGTGTCTTTTTTTTTTTTGGTTAATACAACTATTTATTCGAAGTTGTCCATTGAATAGTTTGACTTGATTGAGATAACATATCCAAATCAAGACCATAGATAAGTAAAATCTATTTTGATAGAAAAAAAAAGAAAATTTTTTATATAGGTCAAAAGAACAAATTTTATTTTTACCTGATCAGGAATATTATAAAGATAATTCGAATAAGATTTTCCATTAATAATTACATTGTTAACAGAAGTATTTACTCCAAGTATTTTAATAAGATCTAAACGCATTGCAGACTCTTTGTAATTTGAAACAAGTATATTAATTGTTAATTTATTCTAAAAATTTGAAATTCTATATGTATAATGAATAATTAATAATGTTTTTTATATTTATTTCTATCTCAATAACCAATATGTATGTATCAACAAGAAATATTGTTAGAAAAACATGTTATTCTTTTGATTCAATTTACTGTAAACTAGATTTTCTAAATTCAATATGAGAATCGTGTTAGATCGATATATAACTAATGATTATCTAGTAGAAGTTTTTAGGAATTAATTACAGATCAGTTATTCATAGAAAATAATGATTTTGTTGCTTACAGAGTTAGTTAATGAGAATTCCAGATAATTATATGTTTGTGTTTCTATTGAATCTGAATTACAAAACAAGATTAGTAATTATTTATAAGAAAACAAAGAAGAAGAAGAAGAAGAAGAAAAAAATTTACCAATTGAATCACCATCATCCCAAAATAAATTTCCACTTGCATTACCAAATTGAGATGGTGCAACAACTAATGTAAATGGATTACCACGTCCAAGAACTAAATTATCACCGGGTATTTGCATTGGAATAATAAAACCACCACGTAGATGTACATTTATTTTTGATATGGGTGCATCCAAATCAGTAAATAATCCGACATTCGATAATTTAACACCTAACGGAAATTCATACCAAACATCTTGAGGAATATATGCATGAACAGAGTTAGATTCCTAATGAGAAAAATATAAATTAAATTTTCGAATATATTTTTTATCATAAAATTACGGGTAATAAATTTGGAGAAATAAGAAGAGCACGACCAATTAGAAATTGTTGATCAATATTATAAGTATTTTTATCATTTAGATATCTAAAGTAAATAAATAAAAAGTTTTTATGAATATTCTATATAATACTGAATATATAGACTCAGAAAAAAGTGGTTGGACAATTGTTCTAGATTTCGATGATGCTTCATAGTGCAATGTATACCAAAATGGTATTAATGAATATCTCATTAATAATGCTTGTTTCATTATTTGTTGAACTTCCCATGAAAATGATGCAGGATCTTGATCCTAATCAATATTATTCGAAATATTTCTTGAATAGAATATGTTTGATATGAGATATAAATAGTTACTTTTTGTCCGAGAGAATTGTGATTTCTCATGAATGGATAAAAGGCACCTAACTGCATCCATCTGACACATAATTCTTCGGTAGTATCAAGCAGAAAACCGCAAATATCAGCACCCACATGTGTTATACCAAACATATTAAAATTGAGAATAGCTACAAAAACAATTTTTTTTAAAATAAAAAATTATATATTGTCATAGACGAACCTGGAATTGAAAAGTACATATCAATAAATGTAGCTTGGTTATCACCAGTCCAATGTGCCGTATAGCGACCTGAACCAGCAAATGTTGAACGAGATAAAACAAATGGTCGTTTTTTACGAATAGTTCTCAATGCTCTATAATATACAAATATTATTTATATAAACAAATTATATTAGAAAATATCTTTACATATTTGTTGCTTGTGCTTCAAAATAACCGTACATACTATGTAAATTATAGTGGGACGATAAGAGCTGTTGAGCAGACGGACATAACGTTTTAGCACTAAGCGCATCACCATGTACATCTATGAATAATAATAATATTCATATATTTGTATTTCTTAGAAAAAAAATTAATTCCATACGAGGAGTGAATGGTGGATTATCTAATGAATTATCAGTACATCCATCTTGTGATCCATCGACGAAACTAGATGGTTCATTCATATCCTAAGGATAAAATATATAATGTAACATAATGAAAGAAAATTAGCAGCAATCATTCTTACAATCCACATGCCATCAAATGGTATGACTTCATGGAAAGCCGAAGCTATATCTGTCCACCATTCAATTGTTTCAGGATTGGTAAAATCAGGAAATGCTGTAATACCTGGCCAAACCTTTCGAAAGCATAATAATAATTAAAAGATATTAAATACAGAAATTTCGTCATACTTTTCCAAAAATTAGTTCAGTTGAATTAAATTTGGTCATAAATACACCTCGTTTCAATCCTTCATCATATGGTATATAAGAACCAGCTGATTGTGTTGAACTAATACCTGGATCAATTATATTTACATAGTGTATTCCATCAGCTTGTAATGCACGAACATATCCAGGAAGTCCATGAAAATGTTCACTATCATAAGTGAAGTCAAGATAGGAGGACATTGCATCAATATCTGTCCATTGAACATCGATTGGAAAATTTGCACTTTGCATTCTCTGCAAAATAATGTATTAATCATAAACTTTTTACAGAAAGAAATTACTTCGAGAGTCGATATCATATTTTCAATATTATTATATCCCCAACGGCAAAGATGAAATCCAAGTGACCAAAATGGTGGCATTGTCGGTTTCTAAGATAATACATTCTCAAGTATTTACATAGTTATTAAGTTATTCTTACTCCAATAACATCCCAATATTGTTCGATGACATTCTCAACAGTTGGTCCTGTAAAAATATATAGATCAATAATACCGCCAATAGTTGTGTAAGTTATAGCAGGTAAAGGTTGAAGATCAATATCCATTGCATTTGAATTAAGAAAAAATTGTCCATGAACATGAGTTTGATTGTCTGGTGTACGTTCAAGATTGATGTGAAATGGATGAACACCTAAAACAATGTTTTATATATCACTTGAAAGTACAAAGATTATAAACCATAGAGATTTATATTTTCCATTGGTGGAAAATCGCGACTATAGAATGTCAATCTTTTCCATTCATTTGTTACATTGATTAACAATGGTTGCTGATGTTCGCCAAGGCCATATAATAATGGAGTTGATAATCGTGTAGAAAATTTGATGAATTGATCAGCAAAAATAAGTGGAGCTACACTTGAATCAAATCTATTGAACAAATAAACAAACACAATCACATTTTACTTAAAAAAAACTAACAAAGAAATAATATCAGAAGTATTATTGAATTCATGACATTATCTCTTTGTTAATAATAACCTTTATCTAGACTTACAATGTTACACCTGTTGATTTTCGAGTGACAAGTATTGCAAATGGTTTTTTACCAAATCTTATCTCATAATCAGTATTATTAGCTCTTTTCTCCACTACAGGTACTTGAAGTGGAACTTCATATCGTTTATTAACTGAATCATAGATGCGAATACGAAATCTTTCTTGTGTTTCATAGATAAGATCAACTGTTAGATTAAGAATATCATGTGGCATATAAGTTGTTTGTGATTTTTGTATACGAATTCGTTGACCAAAATCCGTTGTTTCATTTGATATTATCTCATAAGTGGGAAAATCGGTTGGATAATAACAAAAAGGTATTCCAGTTAACCGTTTATCTGTATAATTTGTTTGTTCAATTGGTAATCTCCAACAACAATTTCGTTCTAGACATTTTTCTTTCGATGACTCTTTTTCTGGATAACAATCAAATCGTTGTACATGTGGACTTATTTCGCATTGTTGAGCAAATATACACCAAACAAAACATAGCACTATAAAATTTATCACTAATGTTAAGTTTGTCATCCAAATAATTACTAAATTTATCTACAATAAACTTTATATAAAAAGATTTCGTTATTATCAAATTAATTAAAACAAATATTTATTATTTCTATCATTATATTCACTCGAAATTACTTATGTAAAAAAAGACTTAACAATTTCATTAAAACATAAAAATAAAATCAATCAATTATAGTTTGAAAGACAAAGATAAATGCACATTTATAACAAATATATTGGAATGAACTAATTACTTATTTATCTCTATTGTTATGACTAAGTCGAAGTTGTCCATTTAATAATTTGACTAGATTCAACTAATATATTCATATCAAGACCATGAATAATTAAAATCTATTTAAATAATAAAAAGAAAATTCGACACTTAATAGATATCTAATTGTATTAAGTTAATTATTTACTTGATCAAAAATACTGTAAGTGTAATTTGGATACACTTTTCCATTGACTGTTACCTGAGTTACGGGTTTGCTTACTCCTAGAACTTTTATAAGATCCAAACGCATTGGAGAATCTTTATAGTTTGTACTAAGAGGGTCAATCGTCAACGTATTCTATAATTTACCAATCATAAATAGCTATTGATTACAATGCATTGTCTACTTACCGAAGTTGTTAAAGTAAATTCAAAATAATTGTATGTATTTGTTCCAATCGAATCTGAATAATGAAAATAGATAAAAGAAAAAGAAAGAAAAATAAAATCTACCAATTGAATCACCATCATCCCAAAATAAATTTCCACTTGCATTACCAAATTGAGATGGTGCGACAAGTAACGAAAATGGATTACCACGTCCAAGAATTAAATTAGCACCTGGTGTTTGCATTGGAATAATAAAACCGCCACGAACATGAACATTAATTTTTGATATTGGTGCATTTAATGTAATGAATTGTCCAACAGTTTCTATTTCTACACCTGATGAAAACTCATACCAAACATCTTGTGGTATATAAACATCAACAGTATTTGTTTGCTAAATAATTATGAAATTGTTTTCTTCAGACATTTTGGTGTTTTAGACATAATTACTTACTGAAACTAAATTCGGAGAAATAAGAAGAGCACGGCCAATTAAAAACTGTTGATCAATATTATAAGTATTTTTATCATTTAAATATCTAAATCGATAAATCGTCTTCCCTCGTATATATATATATATATAAATACTAGAAAATATTATACTCGAAAAAAAGTGGTTGTATAATAGTTTTAGAGTTCATTGATGCTTCATAATGCAATGTATACCAAAATGGTATAAATGAATATCTCATTAATAATGCTTGTTTCATTATCTGTTGAGCTTCCCATGAAAATGACGCAGGATCTTGATCCTAATGGGTTTTTTATATGAAAAAGATGAGAATAAACTATTTTATATGTTCAAGAAAGTTTACTTTCTGTCCAAGATCATTATGATTTCTCATAAATGGATAAAAGGCACCTAATTGCATCCATCTTGTACATAATTCTTCAGTTGTATCTAATCCAAATCCACAAATATCAGCACCCACATGTGTTATACCAAACATATTGAAACTAAGAATTGCTAAAGTCAAAATAAGATTTTTGCAATTCTATAGAATGAAATTTTGCTTTGTTTTAAACAATACGAACCTGGTATAGAATAGTACATATCTTGAAAGCTTGCTCGATTATCACCAGTCCAATGTGCAGCGAATTGTCCTGAACCGGCAAATGTCGAACGTGATAAAACAAATGGTCGTTTTTTACGAATAGTTTTCAATGCTCTATTCAATATGTATATCGATATACATATATATTTAAATCAAAAAATATGCTTACGTATTCGTAACTTGTGACTCGAAATAACCGAACATACTATGTAAATTATAATGAAATGATAGATAATGTTGAGAAGATGGGCATAATGATTTTGAACTAAGATTATTACCAAGTACATCTATATATATATAAACTTCACATTCTCATAAAAAAAATTCTTGTAAAAAAATTTCATACGAGGAACATAGGGTGGATTATCTAGAGCATTTGCTGTACATCCATCATGTGATCCATCGACAAAATTTGATGGTTCATTCATATCCTGCACAGTAAATGTAATAAAAAACAATCAGAGATAATTAGTAACAAACATCCATACGATCCATAGGCCATCAAATGGAATGCTTTCATAAAATGCTGTAGCCATTCTTGTCCACCATTCAACTGCATTAGGATGTGTAAAATCAGCAAACACCGTTCTACCAGCCCAACCCTTTTCAAATTAAACTAAATTTATATCATTATTAACAATAAAATAATAAATTTACCTCTCCAACTAGTGGATCCGTTGAATTATATTTTGTAACAAAAATTTCACGATTTATTCCATCGTCATAGGGTGGATAGGAACCAGATGGTTGTGTTGAACTAATACTTGGATCAAGTCTATTTACATAATGTTTTCCTTCAGATTGTAATCCACGAACAAGTCCAGGAAGACCCTGAAATCTTTCTCGATCATAGGTAAAATCAAGAGAAGATGACATGACATCGATATCTGTCCATTGAACATCATATGGAAACTCAGCATCATGCATTCTCTATTTTAAAGTAATCATACAAAATACATTTTTTCTTTTTATTCTTTATCATATTTTACTTTGATAGTTTCCCATAAATTCTCAAATGTACTATATCCAAAACGAGAAAGATGAAATCCAAGTGACCAAAATGGTGGCATTGCTGGTTTCTAAAAAGGATAGATCCTCAAGTATATATATATATATATATATATATATAAGTATTATGTTGTTCTTACTCCAATGACAGCCCAATATTGTTCGATGACATTCTCGACTGTTGGTCCTGTAAAAATATATAAATCAATGATACCACCAATCGTTGTATAAGTTATAGCAGGTAACGGTTGAAGATCAATATCCATTGCATTTGAATTAAGAAAGAACTGTCCATGAACATGAGTTTGATTATCTGGTGTACGTTCAAGATTGATGTGAAATGGATGAACACCTATACAAACATATAATATATTTCATTTAAATTTATCATTCAAGACAAAAGGAATACGAACCATAGAGATTAATGTTTTCCACTGGTGGAAAATCACGACTATAAAATGTCAATCGTTTCCATTCAGCCGATACATTGATTAATAATGGCTGTCGATGTTCACCAAGACCGTACACCAATGGACTTGACAGTCTTGTAGAAAGTTTCATATATTGATCAGCAAAAATAAGTGGAGCTATACTTGAATCAAATCTAATTAAAACAAAGGATTATCAATTATATTAATATTGTGAGATATGAAAGTTATAAGACTGATGATGCAATTTCAAACTTACAATACTACACCTGTTGATTTCCGTGTGACAAGTATTGCAAATGGTTTTGCACTAAATGTTATTTCATAATCAGTATCAGTAGCTCTTTTCTCCACTACAGGTACTTGAAGTGGAACTTCATATCGTCTATAAATTGTATCGTAGATTCGAATACGAAATCTTTCTTGTGTTTCATAGATAAGATCAACTGTTAGATTAAGAATATCATGTGGCATATAAGTTGTTTGTAATTTTTGTATACGAATTCGTTGACCAAAATCAGTTGTTTCATTTGATATTATTTCATAAGTTGGAAAATCTGTTGGAAAGTAACAATATGGAACAGTTGCATTAGTTTGTGGGATTGGTGGTCGCCAACAACATTTTCTTGTTTCACATGTTGCTTCTGTGGGATTATTCTCTGGATGACAATTAAAACGAGCTGCATTGGAAGTTTGCTCACATTGTTGTGCATATGAATAGGATATAATATATAGAATTGTAAATTTTATCACTAATGATGAATATATCATCCCTCTGTATATAAAACTTATCTACAATGAAAATATTATTTGTTTTTAATCAGAGCTTTACTGTGTCTTTTAAAAATCTCATTGATCTCAATGTCGCAATTGTACGAAATACTTATCAAATTTTTATAATAAATATGGCATATATAAGATATTATATCCAAAATGAGTCAATATAATCACATCAGTTTACAGAATATTCAAATGATTATCTAAAAATAGATAAAAGTCATTAAATCAATATTTTTATGTCATTGAGAAATATGAATAAAACACAATTCTAAATTTATTCGTGTAATAAAGAAGATCATTACTGCGTTGCTATTCATTCTATTGTATGACTAATGTCAGCTAGCATATTTAAATATATATATCATCAAAGATATTGTATAGAGAGAACATACTAATTGAAGTACCATCATCCTAAGATAAATCTTCACTAGTAGTACCATATTAAGATTGAACAACTAGTGATGACAATGTATTACTGCATCCAGTGTTTGTATTGGTCTATGTGTATCAACAAATTGTCTTAATGATGCTAATCATACACCCGATAGAAACTTTATATCATACATTTTCTATTATAAAATAATCATACTGATGGTTGTCCACAAATTCTCAAATATATTATATCCAAGTGACTAGAATGGTGGCATTGTTGGTTTCTAAGAGAATACATTCTCAA